GGAATGCCTTTTCAAGAGGCTTACACAGCTTTCTCTTATTATGAGTCTGTAGCGCAGCACAAATTTGCTGGAAGTTTTCACTTTATAGTTGGGATGGCTCTACTTTGACAGTTTTCCCAGTAAAGCAGAAGTCCTTCTACCTTAAGTGTGAGAAAGCACTTATTTTAAAAGGTGTCTATGTTAGCTTACAGGATGGGTTTCTGCTACTACTGATATAAATTCAATATTAAGTATATCCTCCAAAAAAAATTATTATGGGGGAAATCATATTTCAAAACAAGCTTTGCCCAGTTCAGCTTTTTAATCAACAGAAAGGCAAGATAATGCACAGATTCTGCAGTAGTCAGAAGCAGTTATGTTTTGCAGCATTTTCTCTCTGTTCAGCTATTTTACTTCATCTACAGGCATTACAAATATAGCATGCGCCTTTAGCAAACTCACTAATGAGCAATCGCCGCCTCTCTGCCCACTGCAGTCAATGGAAGTGCTGCACATAGCCCTCTGGCTTACAACTCTGCTCCATAGAAATACATGTGTCCAGCCTCATGCTACCAGCCTAGCTAGCCTGACAGGAGTATCAAAACCTCAGTAGCTATTAAGCCAGCTATTCCCACACTTGCCCTTACGCTTTCTTCATGAATATTTTTCACGCTGGTATTTGTTTTAATAAAATAAGGCTGACCGCAGAGGAAGAACCACATGAATGCAAGCATGCTAATCGCTTTCAGCTAGAGACAGAGACTCTTTCCACCTCACTCCATAGCCACTTCTCAGGGTCCCTCAGGCACAGGCACTTTCTCAAGTACCATACTTTGCCCAGGCACTTCAAGGCCTAAGACTGCTAGACATATTCCTCTGTGGAGCACACACCTGCGCTACACGTGCAGAAGCTTCCACTCCCTCACAGGATCACATTCAGCATTGACCATTACTCAGATAGCTTAGCCAGTCCAGGGATAGATAACAATGTTTTGGCTTGACTAGGGCTATCCACTCTCATGACTTCCCTGCTTCACAATAATCTTTGAAGACCATTTTCTGGTGGTATTTCTGTTCAACAAGACATTTGGTCAAAGCAGAGAGTCTTTTATTACATTAAAGTCATTGCTTTCCACATTGCATGGGATACTTCCAATATGACAAGCTCCAGTTGTATGGTAAGTGAAATATTTTATAAATTGCAATCAATCAATGACTTTCTCCTTCCAAAGGGGGGTGGGGGGGTGGGAACCCAAACA